ATTTATACCCCTGTGCGTGCCGTGCATAATTTAGTATTTCTTTTGAAATTGCAATAATTATATTTAACCTGAATTTTAATTTGTAATTACTTTTATTCTGACCTTTGGTACTTTTTAATTTTCTAATGCACTTTTAAAATAATTTCCAATTTTTTGCATAATCTTTAAATATTATTTTCTGTCGATAATTTATTCAGACATTTGAACTCTGATCACCCCCTATCTCCTTGGTTGCTTCTTCCTTCTGACCAAATACATCTTCCGAGTAAACAAGTAAACAACTGCATTCTAATGAATGGTATATGCTGGGAATCATTCGATCAGGTTAAAAGGTCACCCTACTGGCCAGAATCTGTGTATAATTATAGTTCTTCAGAGCTCGCGTTATCTGTCTCAGCCAAAGAGTGCAAATACACAAAAACGTGTTACAAACTTATTTTACTGCATTTTGTGTTATGATAGTTATCTCCATATGTTTCAGCAAACAACAAGTGTCTTTGCTTTGCATGATGCATGTCGAGAAAACGCGTCGAACGCTGTAAACTTATCCATACCTGGTAATAAGATGACTGCATCGATTCGAAGATGTGCACAAGTCAATTGAAATACACCCTGAATTCCATTTATTGAAATATACATCAAAATCCTTAGCCTGTGCTGGCCAGATTTTGGTCAGGGAAAATATCACAAGTAGCCTCGTCCCTGAGTACTATTAAAGAAATGCTGGAGATCCTAATTGAATAATCTTTATCACTTGATTCAAAGGAAAAAGTAAATATAGGTAATAACTAATGATTGCCACTTTTCCTCTTTGAGGCTGAGTGTACAAAAGTTTTAGGAAGTTGGTGATGAAATAATGATAGATGTGATGTTTTTCTTTTGTAAATGGTACAAATTTCTTATTTGTTTGAGGGTTAACATTCAAATTCAAGCATACGTTCTTGTGATAAAATGATGTATTCTGCGGCGATTTTCAGCCAAATATTTCTACTTATCACTATGAGCACCGTATGATTTGCAAACAGTAGCGTGTCCACTATCAGATAGAATAAACAGGCACTTGTCATAGATAATGGTCATCTTTATGGACTGACCTGAGTCGTTTGATAGCAGTACTTAACCAAAACTAAAAAAAATACCTGAAGTGAATCACTTATTCAGAGGGGTTACCATTTCCGGTGCTTTAAGGTATGTATAATAAAAAGTACTAATACAGCTTATTGCTAAAATACATCAAAGATCTTATTTAAGACCTACAGTATAGCTCAATGAAGTAGTAGAATTATCCGTTGAAAAGGAACGTTTTGAATTTTCTTCATAACGTTGTTTTAAGAAATTACTATCTATAGATGGTAATGTATGCCAAGACATCAACGATAGTTGGAAACGTGGGATAATTTGATTTAATAAATCAACCCATGTTTCCAACTATAGTTGATGTCACAATGAGGCTACATCTAGCGCACTCCAATAAAAAATGATACAAAGAAGCGTGTTGAGTTGGTAAAATTTTCCGATTGAATGGAACGTTGGTTGTCATACATATACATTTAATGACCCGCCAATTTCTTGAGAAAAGAGAAATCGGTCAAATTGTTCATTAAATTACCCGTGAAACTTGTATTCCATAAATATAATAGCATGTGATTGATCGATACAATTACTACGGTTTCTCCAAGAAACCTAATTAATTCATAATGCAATGAAGCGCATTGAAGTGGTAAAATTTTCCATTTGGATGAAACGTTCTGAGTCATGTTTTGAACGTCAATTATAACATAATGACACGCCCATTTCTTTAGAAACGAAGAAGAAATAATGAAGAAATATTCGTCGTAATGTTTTAGGCCACCCCACTCTTTGCGACAAGCAACATAAGTCACCCCGAAATGGAGATTTTTAAAGTTTAAGAGAGAGATTTAGAGAGTTCAAGCTTCTGTAAAACATATATTGAAACGAATTTGGGCATAATTTTGAATTTATCATGTTTATTGGAGTTACCATAACACATGTATCGGTAGAACACATGCTTACTCTGTGTTTATGTAGACCGTCAATTTGATTGGCTAATATATTTATGGAATATTCTAATGAACTATTTGTCCGAGTTTTTTTCTTTCTTAAGAAATAGTCTGTCATTATCTGACAATCAACTTCTAAATATAGCTCAAAACGTTCCATCCAAACGGAAAATCTTATCACTTCAATGCGCTTCATTGTAATTACAATTCCGTTGCAGTGTGTATTTTGCAGAAGCGGAAACTCACTAACTCTCTTCAATCTTTTAAAATCTCTATTTCAGTGTAACTAATTTTGCTTGTCTTAAAAAAATACCGAGAATATTTCCTTTCTCATTTCTAAAGAAAAGGGCGTGTCATTATGTAACAACTGACATTCGATAAGAAACACCCATACTTTGCATTCAAACGAACAGTTTTACCACTTCAATGCGCTTCATTGTAAGAACATAATTATATACATATTCGTTTCAATAAGTGTTTTGTAGAAGCTGGGTCTCTACCTCTCTCTTTTCAAACTTTATAAAATCTTCATTTAAGTGTAACTCGTGTTAAATTGCCAGTCGCGCAGCGTATGGTGTCTTAAAGCATTACAACGAATATTCTTTCTTGTTTCAAAAGAAATTGGCGTGTCATTTTGTAGCAATTGATATTCGATAAGAAAGACTCAAACTTTCATCTTAAAAGAAAAATTTTGCCACTTCAGTGCGAAGAAAGCGGGGACGACACTCTACGTCTATAGTCTTACTTTTAAAATCTCCATTTCAATGTAACTCATGTCGCTAGTCGCAAAGAGTGGGCTGTCCCATAGCTTTACGACTAATACAATGGAGCGCATTGAAGTGGTAAAAATTTTCATTTAAATCGAAAGTTTGGGTGTATCTTATCGAACATCAATTGTTACATAATGACTCGCCCATTTATTTAATCAAAGTACTCAGAAGTACAGAGAGCCGGGCTCATTTACGGAGTAGAATGAATTTCTTACATGAATCACGTTTATATTCTGATGAAAAAATTGATTTAAAACTATCCATATAAATATAAGACACTGACAGTGAGTTTTTCAATCCTAATACCAGTCCGATTTTGTCAGAATCAGAATTAATCTGGTACCGCAGCTGAATGTAAACAAACAGGCCAGTCTGGTTCCCTCTCCTGCTTTACCTCGTATGTGTAGAGAACTACGATAACATTGATTATCAAAAATCCTTACGCTAATGAACTATGTTCTTTGACTTAGGACTGAAGTTTTCAAAGTCATTACTACTAATGTTCATTTATATAGATAAAACTTCGTTTTATTTTGTTGCTTTATTTAGCGTTTGTATTATCTCAAAAGCAGTTGAGAGTAAGAACTATATTTTTGCACGTAACTTTAAAATGGCGACTATTGGGTTGACTTCCTGCCTTGAACAGGATGACATAAGCCGGCAATTGCTCTTTGAGCAATAAGCCCGGCTAAAAATTAGAAATATTCGTCGTAATGCTTAGGACACCGCACTCTTGGTATGAAGGATATGAAGATAACGAACAGTATTCAATCTCAAAAGTCCATAAAACAATACAAAATAGGAACACTGCAAACAAAGACCTCCAAAACATCAGAGGTGGGATCAGGTGCCGTCGAGGTGTGAGCATCTCCTGTAGAAGGAACACTGCAAACAAGGACCTCCAAAACATCAGAGGTGGGATCAGGTGCCGTCGAGGTGTGAGTATCTCCTGCAGACCGGTTACACCCGCCGTGTGCTCCTTGTCATAATCGGGAAATAACGGGAAAATCCGTCGTCAATTCAGTGCATAAATAATGGACTGATAATTAGTATGAAAAACGTCAGTCAGATTTGATGACTTATTTCACACTTATTTTACACTGACTTGAAACTGGAATGTTCCATCTACATGATCCACATATATGGCTCAGGCGAACTGTAACCGGTCAACATGGGATGCTTACTCCTTCTAGGTACCTGATCACAACTCTGGAAATCCCGGGGGTCCGTGTTTTATGACATGTTTACAGATTGGTTTGTTTATAGATTTTTTTTTTAGATCTATCACTGTTTCTTGTAACCATCATCTTCATACAGCAATGGGGAGATGCTCATTTCAGCTATATTTTGTCTTCACAAATATAAATAGAATTATCACAATAAATGCCTGAATCAACAAGTATTCGTATCCAATTATTTCATTCATTTCAACAGTTTTCAGTGTCATGACAGAACTTTGACATCTTATTGATATAGCACAAGAAACTAAACTAGAAAATGAGGAAAAGTCACTTAATCTTGAGCCATGTACAATGTACCTGAAAATCTAAGATTTTCAGGACATTTCAAAAAAAATATTTTTAATGCTTGACGTGCAAGGGAATTCAAAATAATTAATTTTTATTGTGAAAAACTTGGAAAACCCCAATATTTTGGATTATTTGAGCCACATATGTGAGGTGTACATGTAATTTCACTTTTACAGAAGAACCTGAGATGCGACATGATACCAAAAAGGTATTTTTTGTTTGTTTGTTTGTGTCGGATGCTTTTGAATTTTGTTAGTTTTCTGTTTGTTTGCTCTTAACGTTTGTTTGTTGTCTATTCTTTATTATCCTTTATTAAAAATTTTTTTTTGCCTCTTTCTTTGTTTAGTATGTTTATTTTAGTTTTTTCCTTTGTTTTTTTTTTTTGGTTTTTTTTTGTTTTTGGTGATTCGAATAAACTTTAACTTTTCGAAAACTATTAGGTCAGTTTTGAACAAAAACGGTAAAAAATATTTGTAAATAACACAATTGCAGTTACATATGAAAATATTTATATATGATAAAGTGCAGTTGCTGGTGAAAATTTTATATATGATGTTGAAATGTACAAGTATATCTCCCAGATATTATATCTATTTATTTACCCTACATGTACCTGATCTTCTCCTGAAAAACTAAGCATAAACTCTACCCAAAATTTTCACTGAATAATTTGTTCGTAGAGTTGACACATTGGCGCGGCGGATGAGATCTGTCGGCAGTTTTGTACTCCCAGGGAACTCCAGCCCTGGAAAGGCTTTTAACAAGATCCCTGGTCCACAGGGAATCTACAGCTTTCCCTTCATAGGAACAGCTCTTCATTTCAAACCTTTCAGTAAGATATTTAACAGGACTATCATGTATGAATAATTATATGCACTGTTAATACAAAGCCAAGAGCACCTTTTTACTTCTAGTAATTTAAATAAATTGATTACAGCCTACTTGTTAAAAGTTCCAGTGAATTATCTTAGTCAGAATTTTGCTCAACCATCTGTAATATATAACCAATAGCATGTTTTCATATTCTATTCATTAAATTATACATATTTCTTTTTTATTTCAGCCAATCAATCATTTGGAAATATCAATGATTTGTTGCATGTTCTCCAGCAGAAATATGGCGATATTTACAGATTTAAAGGCGCCTTCCGCTGGATTGTGGTCATATCAAATCCAGAATTCGCCAAAGAGGTTTTAAGTTTAAGGTTGAAGTATCCTTACCGACCGGAAGTGGAAATTGTGAAAGTATTCGGTATCCGGAACAAGAAGGAAGAAGGATTGGGTACACTGTATGATTTGAATAAATACTTTTTCAAAAGGAATTTTGAGAGCATATGTAAATGCAGTTTTAAATGTGTATATACATTTTAGCACATGGTATCACTTTTCCAGCATGTAAGAGGTTTACGGAGAGATACTTTTTACTTGGCGCCACGTAACCTCTATATCCATTTTAAAAATCATCGTCAGCGCATTGTCACACCATTGCATCCTCGTTTTCACGCTGTCAAAACCATCGCTTTATCGTCATAGCATTATCGCATCATCGCTCTATCGACCAAAACCTCGATGGTGCGATAAGATAGTGATCTACTACATGTTTTTATACATGGTAGTATCCGGATCCCATTGCGTATAGTTGTATCAAAAAATTAAGTGATTTGACACTCAGCAGCTAGCCTAGCTGAGCAAACGGTTAAATTAATATGAAGAGGTATCTTAATCTGCGGACAGCTGCAGCTTTTATTTCATAATTTCCTGTAAATATTGTTGCCTAAATCTCTAAATATAACGCACAGTCTTTCATTAAAAAAAATAGCCGTCAAAGAGCTCGAGCCATGGTACAAGAATTTCAAGCCAAACTTGAATTAATGTTTTTCTCAGACAAGGAGAGGCTTGGTGGAATCTCCGGAAGCCAGCTCAGGATCAGATGTTGAAGCCGTCTGCCGTACGCTCTCATATTCCCCTCATAGGACTGGTGGCTGACGATTTTGTGGCGAGTTTGAAGGATACCTTGGTCATAGATGACTGTCTGAAAACACTGGTCAGCGTGGCTACGGAATGTAATTTTCACCCTTTTGTCTAAATAAAATAAATTTATTGTATGTATCTAAATACAAAGTGAAATGTTTACAATTTATACATCATGCATTCTAAAACGATCCATCTATCTACTCATGTATTTGTATTTATGTATAACCTTCACGGTATATACATTTTATAAGGTATGGGAATGTTGTGTTTTAACCGGCGACTGGGGTGCCTTGAAGGTCAACCAGCGGTCAGCATGGAAGACCTTAATACAATCTTTACATCCACGGCTGAGGCGGGAAAATTCTTCAAACCATACAAATACTTCAGGACACCATTTTACAAGAGATTCGAGAAGGCAGTGCTCACGTTACACAGGTAAAACTTCTCATAGCCTTAAAAATGATTTTTGAGCATTCCTTTCGTGTTCAAAATTTACATTTAACAGTTTAAGCAATGAAATCGCCTTTTCCAGTGAAATTCTTTGGTTCTCTTTTATTCATATACTTATTACATACACATATATAATAACTTATGTAACTTAACTTCCCAAAATAACAATTTCAATTCTCACTTCAAGTCATAATCTTAGTATAACAGAAATGGAGATTCAAAATGCTATGCAGAGACTAAGAGAACGGTCCACCGAGGACTTACAAGATCAGTCCCCGGAACCCAATCTTCTGTTATCCATGTTGTCAGATAGCCGCCTGAACACAGACAAAATAAACATCCTCATCACAAATCTCTTCGGCGGAGGCATCGACTCGGTACGAAATCGTTATCTTTAGATATCTTAAGTCTTTTGAGAACTTTAAATTCAATTTCTAAGAGGTTTTTTTTCTATCTTTTGATAACAGGAGCGGTGTGGTCCATTGACCTCCAGTTTTTTATTGACTGTATTAAATATATGGAGATATAATGAACAGCATTCAAGCTGAAAAATCAAAATACAAAATAGGAGCAGAGCAAACACAGACCTTCAAAACATCAGTGGTGGGATCAGGTGTCATTGAGGAGTGAAAATCCGCAGTCACCTTGTTAACAGAAAAAATCCGTCGTCAATTCAGTGTGTAAATAATGGCCTAATAATTGGTATGAAAAATGCCAGTCAGCATTAAACACAATGATAACTTGTATTTGCTGACAAAGTTCTTGTATCGACTGTAGAGCTTACGAAATGATTACTTAAAACGAGACTACTGATATCATCAACTTGTCTGTCAATAATTTACCTCATTTTAGAAATTGTACATACATGTACGTAGAGCATACTCTTGCGTACACAAAACTAGTTGAACTCAAAATTCCAGCTTATTAATATTATACTCAAGTCTCATTGCATTAGAAATAACAACATAGACTTCACTTCTTTTGGCAGAGGGTCATGTATTTTGTAATGCAACTATAAATTAGAGCCAAGTTACTTTCATGCACACAATATACTAATCCTTGCTTCTGAATCATGAAAACTTTATTGCAGATAAAACTTAATACCTTCACTTCGATGAAACTGTAGCTCCATGCTATCTTCTTTTCTTGCAGAATAATAAATTAGTATGGCTGATGACAAATGAAATCGTTTTGAAGAATACATAATTTTTTTTTCAAATGAGAAACAATATTGTCACAGGATAAATCTAAGCATTGCATATAATTATCTGAATTACTGGGAGATATGTTGCTACTTTTATATGATTGATGTCTCAAAGTTAGTAACATGTATCTGTCTCTTGAATCTCTTGCAATTTCTATTGCTTTTCTGTTTATTTTTTTATTCATGTGTGATTTTGTTCTCAATCATATGCCCTTGATAGGCCAAAATTGGAAATAAAGAATTTGCTTCCTTACTTACTTGCAGACCTCAAACAGTTTGGTCTTCCTCTGGCATGAATTAGCAGTCCATTCAGACAAACAGGAAAAAATATACGAAGAAATTATGGCTACCATTGGCCATGAAGATCTGAACAAAGAGACTCTTACGAAATTGCCATATCTAAAAGCTTGTCTCAGAGAATCTATGAGGTAAAATCTGCGATACTATTGGAGTCAGATGTAAACTTCTTCGATTTCTTCACTAACTCCACTTTGTCATTTATTTTATTACGTGCTGACATATCAATAACTACTATGCAATAGAAGAAAAAATAAAAACACTGTCTAATTGTCGAATGAAATAACTTTCCAATTTGAAAACTTATAGAAAACAGTCAATTGAACAAAAGACAAATTATCAGCATCTACCTTAAAAAGTTGTCATTTTAAGGTGACTGGATAATCATGGACATTTTAAGACTATCCAAATCTTTTGAAAAAGAGAACTCTGTATTAAAAATAGCTTTATACACGACAACATATACAATATACAAACTCATACGCATACAAACACACTTTATATGTAGCAATCATTGATCAATTCTGTTCATTCAAATCATAGGAAGAATTTCCCCATCAACGTTGGAAGTATTCGAATATTAGACAACGACTGTTGTGTAGCAGGATATCATATTCCCAAAAAGGCAGGTTTTAATTCCGTGAAGATATTCCTATTTCGCGCAAGAAGTAATCTATTTTAATCAAAATTAATAAGACCGATTAACGTGATTCTTACTATTTACTCAATCCTTATAGACGCCGATCTTGTTAGCATCCCACAATATCAGCAAAGACACAAGGTTTTACAAGCACCCACATCAATATATCCCTGAAAGGTTTCTCAGAGGAAACTACGCAGACGGCACACTTGACGAGGAAATAAAACACACTCATCCATTCGCATTCCTGCCATTCGGCTTTGGTCCTCGCAGCTGTATTGGACAAAGATTTGCAGAAACAGAAATGCTTGTCTTAACGACTAAGGTACGTGTACGTACACACAATCTTGGTGCACTGAATTTTCCTGTGCAATACTGGGATAATATTAATATTTAATATTTGATTGAATCATTCCTAGCTTCTTGATTGGCCTGATCGAGATCCAATATTGTAGAAAACCATTTGTGGATTTTTTCTCTATTTAACAGCTAATTCAAAACTTCCGGATTTCCTTACCACCTGGAAGTCCCAAAAAGTTGGAGACCGTGACTCGAACATTTACTGCTCCCGCCAGAAAAGTCACACTTCACCTAACTCCAAGGGAGAAATAATGGCAAAAATTTCAGTCACCACTATCCAATGCGGAAATCATAGAAAAAGTTTAACGTCACCTCACTCCAAGGCAGAAATCACAGTAAAAGACTCATGTCACTTCACTACACGGCAGAAATCATAGCAATAATCTCATTCACTTCACTGCAAGGCAGAAATCAAAGCAAAAGACTCACGTTCACCTTATTGCAAGGCAGAAATCATAGCAATAATCCCATTCACTTTAATTCAAGGCAGAAGTCATAGCAATTGTCGCACGTTCACCGTACTGCAAGGCAGAAATCATAGCAAAAGACCCAGTCATCTCGATACAAGGCGGAAATCAAAGCTAAAGACTCATGTCACCTCACTGCAAGGCAGAAATCATAGCAATAATCTCATTCACTTTACTCCAAGGCAGAAATCATATCAATAGTCTCAGGCCGCCTAATTTCAAGGCAGAAATCATAGTAAAAGACCCAGTCATCTCGATACAAGGCGGAAATCATGGCAGTTGTCTAACATCACCTCGATCCAAGTCAGAAATCATAATTATGTTTAAAGTAGTTTATATCTCTCATTTGATTCGATACGCAAAAGCATGCTCTACATATGTACAATTTCTAAAATATCAACAGTCTCGTTTAAAGTCATCATTTAGTTAGTTTAATGGTCGATACAATGACCTTGTCAGCATACACAAATTATCATTGAGTCAAATGCTGATAAATATTTTTCATACTAATTGTAAGGCCATTTATTACACACTTATTTTACAACATATTTTCTTTTATTCCCCGATTATGACAAGTAGCACACGGCAGGTGTGACTGGTCCGGTCGGCAGGGGATTTTCACTCCTCCATGACACCTGGTCCCACCTCTGATGTTCTGAAGGTCCGTGTTTGCTCTTCTCCTATTTTGTATTGTTCTGTGGATTTTTGAACTTGAATATTGTTCGTCATCTCTATATATTTCATCAATAGTCTCGCATCACCTCACTCCAAGGAAAAATCAGCTATTCGCTCACGTCACCTCACTCCAAGGCAGAAATCATAACAATAATCTCATGTCACATCACTCCAAGGCAGAAATCTTAGCAATAGTCTCATGTCACCTCACTCCAAGGCATAAATCATAACAATAGTCTCACGTCACCTCACTCCAAAGCATAAATCATAACAATAGTCTCATGTCACCTCACTCCAAGGCATAAATCATAGTAATAGTCTCATGTCACATCCCTGAAAGGCAGAAATTAAAGCAATAGTCTAATCTCACCTCACTGCAAGGCAGAAATCATAGCAATGGTCTCACGTTACCTCACACCCAGGCAGAAATCATAGCAATAGACTCGCGTCACCTCGCTGCAAGGCAGAAATCATAGCAATAGTCTAATGTCGCCTCACTGCAAGGCAGAAATCAAAGCAAAAGTCTCATGTCACATCACTCCAAGGCAGAAATCTTAGCAATAGTCTCATGTCACCTCACTCCAAGGCATAAATCATAGCAATAGTCTCACGTCACCTCACTCCAAAGCATAAATCATAACAATAGTCTCATGTCACCTCACTCCAAAGCAGAAATCTTAGCAATAGCCTCATGTCACTTCCCTGAAAGGCAAAATCATAGAAATAGTCTAATCTCATCTCACTGCAAGGCAGAAATCAAAGCAATAGTCTCATGTCACCTCACTCCGAGGCAGAAATCATAACAATAGTCTCATATCACCTCTCTCCAAGGCAGAAATCATAGCAATAGTCTTACATCACCTTCCTCCAAGGAGAAATCATAGCAACAGTCTCACGTCATCTCACTGCAAGGCAGAAATCATAGCATTAGTCTACATGTAACATCACATCACACCAAGACAGTAATCGTTGCAATAGATCACGTCACCTCAACTCGAGGCTAAAATCAAAGCAAAGAAGTGACACTTATAAATCATGCCAAAAAGTAACATATCTCTTTATCTCTCATGTTTTAAATCACCTTTTTTATTTAATATGCAGCAGATGTTTTGGAGAAACATAGATGAATTTCAAATTATATCTATTGTAAAAAAATTACTAGTACTATTTAGTTTTTCAGGTCTTTTTTTAAAGAAGATTTTACCTTTTTTCATGCCAGTCAACAAAATGATATAATAGGATCTTACTTTTTTATTCCTATATTTAAATATGACATTACATGTACCCTTTACAAATATCAATGCATTTTTTATATCAAAAACTTCCCTTCTTTGTCAATATACTTTTACATGTGTGTTATAAATAAACTTATAATTATGTGACTACTGAAATAAAAAAAAAAGGTTCATATGATAAGCAGTTTTTACTGGTACTTCATAAATGGTTTGCTGGGTTATGTATGGCTATCAAATCAAAACCTTGTAAAAAAAAACTGATGACAACCATCATTTTCGGTTCAAGTGAACCTTTCTGATCGAAATTTATCCTTTGTCTCTGGATGTCATAAACTTTTAACATGTTCATCATCTTCTGAAGAACCACTGCCAGTGGGCCAATTTCAACCAATCTTGCCACAAAGTATTCATGGGTGAAGGAGATTCAAGTTTATTCAAATAAATGGCCGTACTTTCTTCCAAGGAGAGATAATTAAGATTTTATGAAAAATTAATGGCAAAATTTAAAAATCATCCTTCTCAAGAACCACAGTGATTGAAAATATAAAACGTTTGTTGAATCATTGTGAGGTAGTGTAGATTAAAGTTTGTTCAAATCATAACCCCCGGGAATAGGGTGAGACCAAAATGGGTGATTTAAGTTTTATATAGAAATACCTAAGAAAAATCTTTAAAAATCTTCTCAAGAACAGCATACATGTAGCTGTGATTGGTCACATTTAATATATGAAATCATCCTAAGGTAGTGTAAATTCAACTTTATTTAAATCGCAACATCCCCCAGGGTATGACTGGGCCACAACGAGCAATGAGTTCCATATTTGAATATACTGGGGAAAACTTTCAAAATCTTCTTATCAAGAACAGCAAGCCAATGATTAGTCATATCTAAATGGAAGCATCCTCAAGTAGTGTAGATTCAAGTTTGTTCAAATCATAGGGTGGGATCATAATTGGCGATCAAAGTTTTACATAGGAATATATTCACTGTCTGAAAAATCTTCCCCAGAACAACAAAGCGGTTATTGGTCATATTTATATACTCTTTAATACTGAACTGGTTCATTTTCTGCCTTTTCCTGGCCATAGTGGCCAGGTGAGGGATATGTCCCCTGGGCCTCTTGTTATGCACGAGGGCTGTCCGTAAAGTTCTTGGACAACATTAATAATTACTGACAAACATTGACAGAATATATGAAACTACCGGTATTATTTTCATTAAATTCATGTTTCATTTAATAAATATGCAAGTTTTCAATAAAAACAAAGCACAAATAGTTACAATTGTATCAGATACAAAAAAGACACACACTCATACCCGGAGCACTAAAACGAAAATTCTTGACGTTACCCGACTTCAAAAGCTAAATACGAGCACATGTAACTTTTCTCAACATAGTCAGCGTTTAACTCAATAATTACTTATGTCGTTTTGACATGTCATAAAAATATGCACAAAATGTTCAGGTTTCTTTCGTAAAATAATATTTAACAATGCCTGTCTCATATATCTTGCAATCATCCAGTCACTGTCCGTGTAAAGACGATTTTATTTACGGAAATGCGCAAAGTCATGATCACGTTACGAAATTCATTTTTTTTTTTACAGCACTGCAATCTCGGAATGATGGTTTTCCTTCATGCACGTCACCCTGTAAACTGTTCATTCCGTCTGAAAATATTATATGCCACTTAAATACTAGTAGACGACTTCTTTTACTATGTTTTCCCGATTTTTTGCAGAATGTATTGGTCTCTGTAGGTGTTTTCCCGATGTCTACGCAGAATTTTATCACTGTTCACTGCTCCATCTATTCCGAAAACGTCTCTTTTTCTAACAATTCCGATCCTGTCTTAATATGTTCTGACTTTGATTGCTTAGCCGTTTTGAAACTTTGAACGTTCAAATTTTGCAGGTTTGACGTGATAGCTTCTGTCAACCTCATGATGTAAAATTCTTTTAGACTTCCCCAGAATTTTATAAATACAAATGAAATTTAAAAAAGTGATAAATATTTTTTTAAATAAAATTTTGCGGTGCTCCGGGGCCTCCATTCGAAGTCTAATTATGAACCCATAATTGTAATTAAACATTTGAAATTGAAAAATAAATTTTTACATTTTTCAATTCACATTTAGTAAAGATTTAGAAATATGTCAATAACAAAAATCAATGACACAACTTTTACTAAATTTTTTGCTTGTCCACGAACTTTACGGACCACCCTCGTAATATTGTGAAAACAACTTTATTGATTTTATTTATTGGCACATACGTTTGCATGCATATTACAATTTTAATTCTGTACATCAAATGTAAAAACAAAAATCTAAAAAATTCTAGACAAATAAAAAATTGTAGATATTAATAAAAACAAATTCTTAATAATAAACAAGAAATACAAATATTCACTTCCTCTTGGATTCTTAGATGTAGATGTAAATAAATAATACTAACATGCATCATATAACTGGTCATAGCTTTAGGAAAAAGCAGTCAATATAATTTAATATCATTAAATACAAATGTGTGATACTTTTGGATTGACCTTCAGAGCTATTTACAACTTACAAATTTGACATCCTAATTTTACATGCACTGAATAAACAAAGGGACTTAAGGGCAAATGTTTGTTGGAAATTTTTAAATAATGCCAATTGGTGGTTCTTTATGTCCATGTAATATGTTATTTTGTGGAGATTATTTATTCCAAAATGAGATCAAAATCAAGTCAAGAGTTCTTAAAGAAAAATATCACATGATACATGTATATCACATGTATGACTGTATCATTCATAAACAAAAAAAATGTGTACTGCCTTTGCATAGAAAAACTGCATAGGTACATGCATCACTTGTAAACAAGTACATGTAAATACACCTTTCATTAATTATTGGATATATGGCTGAGGTCTTTATTTTGGTTCACTATGTCCTCATCCTCTGGTTCTTCACTTTTTTGATTTTCATTCACGGAATCTTCATCTGGCTCCTCACACCCTTGGTTCTGTTTCAGTATATCCTGGTTTTCCTTAACTTCCTGCGTTACAGAGATTCTTGTGTACGATTCTTGCGTAGTACTGCTCTGGTTATTCTGAGACGCCCCCTCCTGTTTGGCACTGTGTGACCCCCCATCCTCCTCACTGCTGGAGTCTATACTTATTCCCTTTGGTCGTTCTTTGTATGCTTTATGAGGCAGGCTGTACAATCCATCATCCCTGTTTGGGTCTCCATATAAAACGAACTTTTGAAAAGCATCCAGAAGATATCGCATTTCTTCATTGTCATTGAATGGAACAGGTTCAAAAGTAGATTTAATTCTTTCTCTTTCCTTAAAAAAATATTGATGTAGTTAAATAAAAAATAAATTTTTCAATATTTATAACATCAATCATGCATGTTAAACAAGAGGCCCATGGGCCACATCGCTCACCTTAGAAGCTTTGACCATTCAGTTCTTTATTAGATTATATTGTGACCCAACCCTACCCCACTGATCATAATTTAGACAATCTGAAATCTACACTTCCAAAGGATGCTTTGATTCCCCATTGTAAAACTTTGATTCCCAATTGTGGCCCCGCCCTACCCCCGGGGGACATGATTAGAACAATTTAGAATCGACACTACCCCAGGATGCTTCCACATAAGTTTCAGCTTTTCTGGCCCAGTGGTTCTTTAGAAGAAGATTTTTAAAGATTTTTCCTATATATTTCTATGTAAAAATTTGATTCCCCATTGTGGCCCCGCCCTACCCCCGGGGGTCACGATTTGAACAATTTAGAATCTACACTACCACAGGATGTTTTCATATAAGTTTCAGCTTTTCTGGCCCAGTGGTTCTTGAGAAGAAGATTTTCAAAGATTTTTTCCTATATATTTCTATGTAAAACTTTGATTCCTAATTGTGGCCCCGCCCTACCCCTGGGGGTCATGATTTGAACAATTTAGAATTTTCACTACCCCAGGATGCTTCCACATAAGTTTCAGCTTTTCTGGCCTAGTGGTTCTTGATAAGAAGATTTTGAAATATTTTTTCCCATATATTTCTATGTAAAACTTTGATTCCCCATTGTGGCCCCGCCCTACCCCCGGGGGTCATGATTTGAACAAATTAAAATCTACACTACCCCAGGATGCTTCCATATATGTTTCAGCTTTTCTGGCCCAATGGTTCTTGAGAAGAAGATTTTTTAATGACCCCACCCTATTTTTGTCTTTTCTTGATTACCTCCCCTTGTGAGGGGACCTTGGCCCTTCATATTAACAATTTAAATTCCCCTTCACCCAAGGATGCTTGTACAAAGTTTGGTCAAAATTGGCCCAGTGGTTCATGAGAAGAAGTCTAAAATGTGAAAAGTTTACAGACGGACAGACAGACAGCTAGACAGACGGACGGACGACAGACAAAATGTGATCAGAAGAGCTCACTTGAGCCTTCGCCTCAGGTGAGCTAAAAATGTGATAAATTGTGTATATATAATTCTAAAAATTACATATGTGGAATGAGCATTGGATAAGTCACTGAGAGTCACCCTTATCCAAGAAATAACATTCCCTCAAAAATATATCTTAAACCTATTAATTCTTTTAATCTACTGTCTTTATATATGAATTGCACATGAAATTATGATGAACCCACGAACAAGTAAATGAACCCATGAACAAGTAAAATTCTGCTTGTCCATAAAATATTCAAACCCCCTATTCCACCCAAGAATAAAGAAATATGTTGTAATATTCAAACACTGGTATCTATTGGCCTAAGAGCATTCTTACATTTGATAAGAATAAGAAATTAAGTGTTTTGTAATCACCATAGTAACTTTTTCTGCACAGTAAGTTTGTAACTGTTTCTGAAAGCCAAAGTTTGGATTTGAGTAACTTCTGGCCCCTCTGACTGCATTGAGGCAGTCCTTCCACCCGTAGTCAGTCACCGTCATCATGTAGGCCGCTGTCACTGTCACACTCCTGGATACACCCGCCAAACTGGACACAAAATCATGATAGGAAGTTAATTAAAAATATATTATAACAAACACACTTTTTATAGGAAGTTAATTAAATAAATGAAATAGATGTGTAGAATAAATTTTCCTATTGAAAACATCTTTTATAAAGAGGCATTTATACTGATGAAAGCTCATACATTCACTGTATATGCCGACATGATGTTTTCAAGACAAGGAAATAATTGAAAAATTTCTAAAATTATCATAAACATAAACATTTATTTTTTAATTAGTAGATTTATATATTTTATTTTTATTCCATTGGATAAACTTATTATTAAATCTGGAGTCTTACCAGTGGACAAGAACATTGCCTCCATTGATCCGCGCAACATGAATAAAATCGATACATTCAGAGAAATATTGAGTCAAATCTTGGTTAGGGTTGTCACTGGCCTGTATACATTTGTACTCTATATCCTAATTGTGCAAAAAATAAATTAGTACATGTTTAATTTCCCTTTGACTCTATATCATTTTCATTTAAAATCATAGCTTTAAAATACTATAGTTTTTTTTTAATTCAAAAGTATAATTAATTAAACTATAAAATCATATATAAGTATTAAAGAAAATAGATTTACATCTCTAAGTTTCTTCGCATTGTCATGTATGGAGAGGATATGAGTTATTCTGTTGGTCTTCAGCTGATTGCTATCCTTGGCATCACGAAAGTTTCCAACATATAATCCGGGTAGAACCTTCATGTATAAACCACTTTATTATATAGTTAATGTATTAAATCAAGTATTACCTCATAAACCACTTTCCTTTATACATGAAAATCACTTGCATCAATTTTACTTTTCTCGTTTGCTTTTTGCGTAAACAGTTAACATCAGCTGAACATGTTTAACCAAGTCAAAAGTTTCATACTTTACCCTATTCATTCCATTTCCCATTCTGCATTAGGCTAGATTCCCGATTGTCTTTAAAATATTTTTTCCTTAAATTAAAAATATTTACTAAACTGATTGTAGCTAATTCTTTCCAACGAAACTTGAAGAATGAAGTTTATAAATCTTGTTTCCGGTTAGTGTATTTTGGATAGCTCGTTCGATACATTATTCGATCAAAGCAATGTCAGCATGCTCAGACTGGCATTTCCTATCTCTGTCGTACAACACGCATATCAGACAGGCAAGCCAGTCTTTCTTAATTGTGTTTTTAAAGAGGGTTGATTGATATTTGAAAAAAAAAAGACTAAAAAAAAAAATAAATAAATAAACCAGGGGATCCTATTTCGGGGCTGTGGATAGGGTTGGGATCCTCTTACTAAAATGTTAAAATCCCGTTGGTGATATTTAGGGAAAAAACGACACAAAACTTAGACATTTTTGAAGTTTTCAGTTTTCTGGTTTGTCATCTGATTGGAATAAAATGTATGTACATCTTGTGCGAAGTTTACATTTATTGCTTGTGTTAAATTTATAACTAAATTTACCGACAATGTTCTATTATAATTTTGAGAATCAGAAAAGAAGATATTTTCATACACCACCATTCCGGGGAATTCTTTTGGCATGTCATAAGTAAGCATGCTGTCTTTTGTCATATTGACGGTGTGATATGAGGGAAAGCACAGTAAATAGTTTTAAAAAAAATAAAAATCGGAGCGTCTCAGAAAAATTAACGTCCGAGGTGAACGCCAACTTCTGAGGCTTGTAAAGGCTAATCGCACCACTCCATTTAAATGATATAACAGGACCGTTCAACCAAAGTTGGATGTTTCATGTGTCTGGAAGACGCTAATGGCTATTTGTCTAAAAATAAGTACTACCGGTGTGTGCTTGCAGGAAGAAAATTAGAATTAGGGATCAAAACCGAAAAAAACCCGCGTGACATGGGCCAGAGGCAAATGACCGTGGACTGTTGACAATAACTGGTCAGAAGTCATCTTTTCGGACGAATTTTTCATGCAAAGTTGTTTTAGGCCAAAACAACCGAATGTATATTTGGAGAAAGGCAGGGGAAGAGTGGTTACCGCATCAGCCCCGGCGAACCACCGAAACCTGTAATGATCGAGTTTAATATTGCGGGGATGCATCACCTGGGATGGTGTTGAAACACTGACTGGTTTATGGCAACATTAATGCAGACAAATATTTTGACATCCTTGACGAACAATTGTGGCCGGTTGTAGCAAAATCCTTCCCTTGTTTTTCAAGATGACCACGCCCGATTCACCGTGCCCGAATTGTACAAGCATGGGTACAGGTATATTTTGTGGGGCACAGTCACCTGATGCAAACATTATTGAAAATATTTAGTTTCTCTTGAAAAATAAACTGAAACGCACTTTCAGTCATTGACTTGGAGATAAATATACACGACATCTGGATTAACAAACCTGTATCTTACATACGGAACCTCTACTAACAGATCCTTACCTTCTTAGATGCTAGAAATAATAAGACCAACAGGTTATATTACCAAATACTAAGGTAAGATTTATTTTCAGAATTATTTTATAGGCGCTGAAAATCCGTATTATATCAAACTTGACTTTTTGACGTTGACTTCCGCCGTTTGGCGCTGTTTTATATTGGTTTGTATATACATACACTATTATAATGTTACCATTACTAATGTAAAAGATTTTAATGGTTTGTTTTATAATGTTCCTAAAGTTTATAGCATCTACTCTCAAATATACCGGTATATATATGTATATATATAAGTCTATATAAAAATAAGTGATTCAGCATATAGAATCGCAATACATAAGTTAGACATATAAATATTTATTCTCTGAAAATGTTTATCTCTCTCTCTTAACTTGGCAAAAAATGGGAAGCTTGGCGCCAATGCACTATTATAATGTTACCATTACTAATGTAAAAGATTTTAATGGTTTGTTTTAACAGCAAAATCGATATATATATGTCACTATATATATATATATATATATATATATATATATATATAGATACTCTAAACATAATGCTCAATCTTAATATATATTGTCTTTTTTGTGTAGTGTACCTTTTTTTCTTTTATATAAAGATGGTAGCTTGATTGTTTTTTATGCATCTTCCATGTGCACACAAGTTCCTGGTCGTCGCCTGTACTAAACGGTGCTTGTAACCACTTCTAACTGAGTCAGTGAATAATTCGTAAACATGCTTAAAAAATAATAATTATGGCTAAATCTAAATAATTTCCCTTCCATTAGAAATAATTCATATGGACAGCAAAAGAATTGATGATGAAATATATAGCCATTAAGAACACCACTTAAAAAACGTCTTTTAACCTGAATTTCCTCTGCTCTCACATGAAACGATATTTTCTACTTTCCACTCACATTTTGTGTATTATTTCTTATAGTTTAAATATTAAGAGATCAGTTAGAAGTTAAACACTAAGCTTCTATTTCTTTTTAAATTATATATAAGGAATTCAAAAGAAGTAGTGTTATTTTTATTGTGCATACCCATTCAAATGTGAACATTTATGAAGGTTGACAACTTGTTGAACTTTTACTTTTTTCTTAATATATAGGAATAAAATTTTAATGAAAATTATCTTTTAAAAATCAATTAACTTTAGACAAAATTTTAAACACATTAAACTGATCAATTAATAGTTTAATTTAATCTCTGTTGAGATTCTGCTGGGCTAGATATTTGGACTTGCGGGCGTCAAGTCCAAATATCTAGCCCAGCAAAATCTCAACAGAGATTATAGTTCAATTATAAAGTTGATACATGCTATTAAAAAAATGAAACATAATTGTTTATTAAGTTATCAGTTTAATAATTAAATATTATTAAAATTAATTTTCTTTCATATTTAAACAAGTGTAATCCTTTCCTTTAATAATAGTAGAAAATCACCAGATTCATTAAAACTAAAATATTGGCCTACGTGTTCTTTAGTTCTTATCAATAACACAGTACTTGGCCTTTCATTATGTAAAAAAAAGAAACATGAGAAATGTCCGATTATTTTTGATTATGAATCGAAATGGTGTTTCCGATTCGATTCGATAATCGATAATATTCTTCTTCCGATTCTGAAACACTAATAGGTCTACACCTCTTCATTATTCGATATTTCCCTTTGCTTTGAGACTGTAATGCCCCTTTTTACTTTCTTTTTTTACAACTCACGTTTAGTGGATTTATAAGCGTAGTTCAAAATATTTTAAATTGAATCAAATCCAGGCACGTAGTATGCCACCCCCTTCCAACTTTTCAGACAATTTTTGTTATTAGAAAATGTTCATTGAAAGACTGGTCGACTCCCCACATTTTATTGCAGTATAGTTAGATAAAGGTAGAGTTCTTATATAGTATGTATGAGTAAAAAATATACTGAAACATATTGGGATGTTGAACCCCCGCCTCAAAATAGGATTTTTGAGTTTGTTATTTTTTCACTTTTGGCCTGTCATGGCAAGTTTTTTTCCAAAGTTTTTTTCGAGGTAACTTTGGTGCTCTCATTCAAAAACGATGCTACGTCTCTGAAATCTGAACAATCATGCGTACGATTTTTGGATAACTTCAAACACAATAAGTTCGCGAAGAAAAAAAAACGTAGGAGATAATATTCTAAAAGTTTTAATTTCAAATTCGTTGAAAAGACTATAATTAATGATAAGAGACCTGTAATAGATTCACTGGTATTAATGATAAACAAACTGATGACATATTTTCTTAATTTCTCCATATCTGAAATACTGGAAATAAAAACTGATTTGCAAAAATAAGAAATCAATTCAAAATTATAAAATAAACTCAGAACATTGATAAGAATACTGAAAAAATCCTAATTACTTTTTTAAAAATGTAGAGTTCAAGAAAATAAATAAAAATGTCTTATGGCCAGCAGCATATACAGGGGTGGAAGCACAATTTAGCTTGTATTATTTAGAGTAATACTGTATCAGAGATACAGGGCGGGGCTTGAGGCGAGAGCGATAGCTCGAGCCGGGCCCCGCCCTGTATCTCTGATACAGTAGGAAACGAGTATTCTAAATGACTTGTGACATGACCTCTCTAATGACCTCACCAATTTACATTCATATTTGGGTACAATCTCTCAACCAATCAGATGATTTTAGCAGAAAGTTGATTTAGTATCCCATTTTAAGCATTCGCAACTGAAATGCCGAGTGAGGTGGACCTGCAGGTAATTATTTACTATTATTTTAAAAATAATTATTTGAGGGATGCATTATATAATTTGTTTTCCAAAAAATTAATTTAGATTTGATTGGGTAGGTTTCTTTTTTTTCTCAATTCAGCTCTTGCTGACATTTTTTTTTCAATTTAAGCTATGAATTAATGCAAAACATTTTTATATATAAGAATCATATTTTGAAACAAAAATGCTGGGATATTGTATACTGAGAGAAACCTCCGACAATATCCTCTAACCTGTAATCATATACAAAATTGAAATAAACAGATGAAAGAAAGTGGGGGGGGGGGTATTTTACTTCAAGTTTTTAATAAAATGTAGAGTAACCAAGGGGGGGGGGGGGGGGTCCAGTACTCACACTTGCCCCCCCCCCCCCAATCCCACCCAACTTTAAGTTTTTTTCTTTTATCGCTTTTGTAAATTATTTTTGCCAAACCTATATACGCTTCTTAGTTTATCAACAAGTAATGATTTCACGCACATAGTGTCTTGGTTGATTATAAACCTACCCCCCCCCCCCGAAATACGATTTTCAGGGTTTTTTTAGGGGGGAGTCAAGGTAGTCCTTTTTGATCTGCCCCACTCCCTCCTTTCTAAATTTTTTGAATCCGACACTCATGTAAGTTTATTTTGTAAAATTTTATTCTAAATAAAATCACCTCAAATTTTGAGTAATTACTAAAGTGCTATCAAATTGAACGATTCTTGTGTCTGAATATGAATACAGCTTTCCGTCATCGCTAAAAATAAACCGTATGTATCGTTGATATTTTGCAGATACAGTACAGTTTCTGCTCATTTGCATAAGAAACGCCCACAGAAAGTGTTCTGTATCGCAGTTACAGTATGCTTGACTTCAAAGGAAAACTCGCCGGGTCATGTCAAGCTTTTGTTATTGGATAAAATGTTGACAATTTCAAATAATGTAAGAGTGTTCTTAAGTAAATAAACTAAAAAAAATAATAATTCAAATATTAACAAAACAGTTTCCTCTGAAAAAGGAAAGCTTCGATCAAAAATAAAACACACAGGATAAAGGATTATATATATATGGTATTCCATGCATGTTTCATATAGAGTGCCATTTATTCTATTGCACAAACATTATGAAAAATGATCTGAAATTCAGAATACTAATCAAGAAACAAGTCTAACATGCAGCATGACTTCAAAATGAATACAATGATCTGCAAACTCACAAAATGTGTAATGTCTGTATGTATTAATATCACTAAGCAAAAAGAATTATGTCAAACAAGTAAGCACTATATAGGTAAATAAATAATAGACCCTGGGTCTCAAATGAAGGAATGTACGCCAGAAAATAAAACCGTTATAAGGACAACCTTATGTTAAATAGAATAACATTTAATTAAAATAATATTCAACAACATTTTTAAAAGAGTGAAATTACTGTCAAAAATCAGATCTTCAAAAAAAAAAAAAATGAGAATGTGATCGTCAAGTAAATTAATCACTGACTAGACATTCAAATAAATGTATAATGTTACATATAGTTAGTAGAACTAATAACTGAAAGACAAAAAATAAAATAATCGGCTTTGAAGTAAAAATGTGATAAAAAGAAACACTGATGCAACTGAAAACAATCCAGCAATAGCTATACCGACGGATCAAAACATTTAAACATATAGTCCTTTCTACAGCAATCTATAGGAATCAACGACGTATTTGTTCACTTCATTTTTTGGAAATTCATATTCCTAGCACTTTTCGGCAGGTATCGACAAACTGAACCAAGTTTCTTGCGTCCGTTGAGTTGAACGGCAACGATTCGACAGATTGGCGACATTTTCCCCAGTAACTTTGTGTCGTATGTTTCGCATCTCGTTTCGAGTAGCAGGGTTGGATTTCATTACCACTGTGTTCAATAACAATTTCATCATAATGGATCCGACGATCTTGATTGAAGTCTTCTAACCAAATCTCGCTTCATGCGAGATAAACCGTGACTTATTCTGTGCCGTGAAATCGGTGGGTTTCGTAACTTCCGGTAATGATCGATATGATTTCTGTTTCTCATTGGCAATGTCTTCTGTAAATCATTTGTATGTCTATCTAAGTTTGGAGAAGACATTGTGTTAAGCACTGTCGGTCCATTCCGCACTGGTTTAGGAAACCCTCTGGGTCTCTGGCGGAATTTTGTCTGTTTGTAATTGTTAACGGCATGCACAGTGATGTTTCGCTTGCCTACTTTTCCCAAAGAACTTGACAACCGTCCAACACGTTCTCTACTTCCGGGGCCTCGCTGCTGCCGATGTACCTTTTTGACAGATTTTGAAGGATGGTCCGAGATGATCTTTTTAATGTAGTGAGCTGGGACTATCATTTTCGGTAAGTTCGTCAGCTCGATCATACTACTCTTCGAAGAACTTGGCACGTTTGCTGATTTGATGCTCATGAATGGTAAATTGTTGGGCGTCGACTTGGGGGAATGGTGACTGGATTCATTATTTTTCTGGTGACCACTTAAAATGTTTTTGTGCTTCCTATGATGCTTGTTTTTCATTCCAGACATATTTTTATGGCGGCCATGATCTTTTGAGAAAGCAGAAGTTTTGGGGGACTTCATGGAATTCTTTTTCCCCGTCATCCAAACGAGCAGAGCATAGTGAAGCGTGACGTCCTTAAGATTTACATCAGTTGTCTGTTGAATTCCACCCAGATAGATCTGATGTAACTGAAAAGTAAAGAAAAATAATAATTGTCAACATCCTCTGGGCTGACGTCTCTAAACCACGAGGCATCTTACATGTAACTACCACCATCTAACATACTCTACCACCAATCATATGCTTCAACACAGATAAAAACACCTTTCTATAATACTGTTAGAGACATGTTTTCCAACAGAAAAAAATCTTTGCATAATCAAATTGACAAAAACAGTCAATGTAAAAATCATACGTCTGAGTTACTCGTAAAAAAGGTAGGAATACCAATACAAGTACTTGCATATTGTCCATTGCTTTTGTAACTTTTATTTTTTGGATTTAAATTGAAACGGACAAATTACGATTCTACCATCAATAGCTTTTTTTAAAACTGGTGAACTACTTGTAGATATGCAAATTATAAATCAACGATAACTGATTTGAGCGATTTCAAGTCCTTACCTTAGACGCGTCTTTTGAGCTTTGATTGTGCAAATGGATCCCATCTCCAGCTACATGTACGAGACAAAACCCAACAAACCCACTGATGGACATAACAAACAAAACAAAAAGCTACGATTCTAAAACATGCAAACACATAAAAATTTAAAATTGCATTATTAAGTTGCAGTGCAAAACATGGAAATCTACAGCGTTGCAACACATGGTACGCTTAACTAACAACATTTACGCTTTCGCTTTTCATGCATTGTCTTTTAAAAATATTTCAAAATGAATTGTGCTGGCAGCTTCAATTCAAGCATTTTGTCTTTCCAAAAGTGCATAAAAGCACAACACACTATGCTCAGGAAAAACAAATATGGCCACAAGTGTTCATTTCACAATTGCACAGATACACGAATAATTAGCAACACAAAGGTGTTAAAGATGAAAAATTAAATACCGGTTGTAGAGAAGACTACTGGGGTGAAGGGTTCCTACAATATTGTACATTTACATGTTAAGTCATGCACTAACAAAAACATTCTCATTTTAATAGATTTTCTTTGAAAACCACTATGGCATTCTCTATTCGTTCAATAAATGTACATGTATATCAATTCATGCAATATTAAATGCAGTCATAAAATAAAATTTAATGAAAAAATATATAAATTATGATATAGTATAAACTGGATTTCTTGAAACAATGGATTTCTGATCACTATTGGAATTTCTTTCGATAATATTTTGTATGTATGTGTTGAATTCTGATTAAACAAAAGACATTAATTGAAGGTAAGTTTGAAAATAAGGGGTAATAAAATAAGTACGGGTGGAACTGTTGAAGTAATGGCCTCAGTGGGGGGTACGGGGGTGGTTGTAGTTGTGGGCGGTGCTGCTGAGGTAGGCGGATCAAACGCCAAGTTAGCAGATGCTGGAGGTGGGGAGCAGATGCTATCGTCGCTTTCTGCCTGCTCCTTTGGAGTCCAGTCGCCACAACGCGGAAAGTTGGGCGGAGGTCTGGGCATTTGCTCAGGCTCACCAACTTGGATGACCATACTCATCCCCATTTCCATGTGGAAAGCGATATGGCAATGGAATAACCAAAATCCTGGAAAGAAAAATCCCAGATTGTACCGTTAATTTGAGCAGAAAATTGCTACATTTTGATAGTTATACAATTATTACGCCAACATTACAAAAGCAAGGGCATGAACAGAATATGATGGATATGATATTAAAAGATATTGAAAACAGGGTTTTCCGTTTTCATCCAGTACCTGGATTGGTGGCGTGGAATCTAATAATAGTATAGCCACCGTCAGGAACGGTAACTGTATCTTTTGAGATAGCCCTATGGAGTTTTCTATTGATTAGTCCCATATCATCCATAAACCGAACGTGTTCAACCGAAGTCATGTTCCCCAACTATAAAAAAATAACAAGAATTTTATTCAAACATTATTTTATGAAGTATTGTTGAAAAATCATACGTAAATCAGAATTGAATCAGGTAGCGCCACAAACTCCACCTTTTCCATGGCAACGACCCTGAAGTTATATCCGTGCATGTGCATTGGATGGTTATTATCCATATGTTTTCCCTCGTCTACCAGCACCATTTCTACGACCTCTCCAAGCTTGATTTTGACTCTGTGGGTACATTCACAAAACTCCTTCTTACAGTTCTTATCTTTATATGAATTTCCATCACAAAAGATGTCCTGTAAATGAAATACAACTAAGTCTGTACAATACAGCGTAAGAGTTGAATGAAGAGAATTAAAAAAATTCTACTTTGACTTATTCTTAGTCTTATTCTTAGTTTGACTTATTCTACAGCTAATACTTAGTTAACTGTAAAAGACGGACCTCTAGATCTTTAGTGTACTGGGTGAGTGGAGGCGAGGGAGGGGCAGCATAAGATATTCTGTTGATCTGGGGGGAAAACATATGATGAGCATGTCCTCCGTGTCCCCCTCTATGCATCATATGCTGCAGCGAGTAGAAGTCGGGATCGTTAAACCGATAATTCTCGATGAAATTGAAATCCATGGCAAGATAAAGCACCCTGTCTGGCTTGACCTTGAGCGAAATGTCATCTGGAATTAAGGATTCAAGTCGATCCACGTTCATTGTGTTCAGGTCAGAGTTCTTGTTGAATGGATTTAATTTCTACAAAGTAAGAAAAGGATAGAAAATAAGCTAAAATTACCGGTAAGTTTAATACACTGTATATAACTATCTGTAAAATTGTGAATTCTTTTTCCTTGAGATTTCAAATAAGCAAAGTACATGATGTAGTGTAATTTACCATTCCTGGTCTTTCCCCTGCCTCGTATTCTGTAGACTCTTTTGGAAACATCGGCATGGCACCTTCATATCGAAGGATAGCTGTCTGACTTACGCCATTATACTCTGGTCCACAATCGGCCAAACCACGGGTTCGAATCCAGTAGTTCCCAATCGGTTTATCAGCATTTAAAATGAAGTCATACCTTTCTCCAGCAAATATATTGAAAGATTGGAGATGGACGGGTTTGAAAGGTGTGCCGTCAGAGCTGATGACGGTAATAGTGTGGTTATCGATGGAGACTTCGATTGGACAGTTATTTACACCATTGCTAGCAACTCTAAATCTGTAGCGCTGACCTTGTGTTACAGCAAAGACGGCATGAGGAGTTTGGACAGGGAGTTGTACATGAGGTTTATCATTATCGTCACTGGTTGTTGGTGCAGTGACAGTGTTTTCGTTAGCACTTCGTCGCCTTCGCATCGCCATTTGATGCATTTGGTGCATCTGATGTTCTGAATTTACAAGCATTTCTAAATCTGAGTTCGAAAGTGTTGTAAGTGACTCCATACCACTTGGCATCTCATTGTCCCCATTGTTCATGTTCATGTTGCTTTCTCCATTGTTCATGTTCATATTGCTTTCTCCATTGTTCATGTTCATATTGCTTTCTCCATTGTTCATGTTCATATTGCTTTCCCCATTGTTCATGCCCATAGAGTTCATACTGTGCATACTATGATCTCCGTTGTTCATTGACATAGGGCCCATACCCATGTTGTGGTCATTATGAGCATTTGGCATTCCCATTGTGTGCATGGTATGCATATTGTGCATGCTGTGCATATTTTGCATCGCTGGGTTCGTTGTTGGAAGGGAGTCCATTGAGTTTTCATTGTCACTGCTTGTCGTTTGCCTGTTGCCGTCTTGGACCATCTGATGATTGTTCATGTCTGTCATCATGTGACCAGCATGTTGATTTAGATTCGAATCGTGCATCATATGCCCAGCTTGTTGATGTCCATTGGTTTCCATTGGCATCATGTGACCTCCATGGCCATTATGGACTTCTGATTTTGGAAGAAATGTTTTCAAAGTCGCTCGTCCTGAAAACAAAACAAATAGTTTAAATTCTGTGTTAGAGCAATTTTTGACTTCTTTAAGAGTGTTTTATAAAAGTTGATACGTAAACAATATAGAGCTTAAAACTACTCACCGTTTATTAGGATAGAGGTTGGTAAGTGTTCCGTCATAGCGTGGTGATGGCCGGCAAATCGAGATGCGCCCATTTCGCCGATCCAGTCATTGAGTAAGATGGAGTGTTCCGGCAAATCATGGTCGTATAACGCTGAGTGATAGTCACGTGACTTTGGTTGACGAATCACAAGAGAGCCAAAGACTCCATCAGCTCTTTGTAAACCTGCATGGGCATGCCAAAAATGGGTACCGGGTGTTTCAGCAAGGAATCTGTATATTGGTAAAATAAAAACTCGGTGAACAAGAGGCCTAAATCGTGTCAACACTAGGTATTGTAGGCTCTGAAATTTGTAATGAAGCTCCTTATAAACCTATATGTACAGGGTTTTTTTTTATCCATGGCTCTGGTGAACTAATTATAATTACATCTTTGAATAATAAAACCATTATTCATTTTGACTTGCCGTGTTTATGATAATAGAATTTCATTTGGAATACTTGTTAAGGAGATTTAGAAGTGTGTGTGCCATAAATTAACCTTTACTTAACTATATTATTCAGGAACTTCCTGAACACCAACAATTCAGTTTTTGCTTACTTGTACTGGAACTTTGAGTGACGGTTGATGGGGCACTGTGTCAACATGGCCACGCCGTCCATGTAGGGGGTCTTACTCTGGAGAATGCCGTGCCAGTGAATCGCAGTACCCTCCCCTCCCTCCAAGTTATTCTTGACATTGACAATGATCGTGTCTCCCTCGCACACCTGTCAAAAGTACAACCATAAGTAGAGGGTTGTTGAGTCTACTTAAAACTATCCCGAGATCACCTTTAGGCAACTCGAGTTTGGTTAAAACTTTTACCATATTAGTAACTTGTTTTAGATGATGCATATTAAATAGGTATCAAAAATAAATGAAATGTGAGTTTAATATTCAACATGTAATGTCTGCTGTGAACAAATAATCCTCACATTATTGCTTTCAAAGTAAAATAATAGCTCATTTACAAAATGCTTTCATATAAAAATTGCTTAAATTTTGTGAAACTAAAAAATAAATTTAAAGAATTTGCACGTGATGAAAAACAGGATCCTGTTGAAAGTGCATTACTTTATCTTATCGTAAAGGAACATCAAACTGCGGGGCAGAACTGATGGTTGCAAAATCATACTGAACTTCATTGACACCATAAATCTGCTTACAATCGTTTACTTTTTCTAACACTTCACTGTGTTATTATCATTTTTATTAAGTCAGCATTTCAATGATTTTGGCCAAAAGCTTTACGAAAAAGGTCTCTTTAGACAACGAACAGTTGAAAATAAAAAAAATCACATTACACTGGACTCATAATATAATACGGATAATCACGTGACTATCCACTCACCCGTATAGCTGGTCCAGGTAGCATCCGATTGACGGTCATGATCCCCCGTGATACGCCGTCCGCGGCCACACAATGAGGGCGGAAACAGTCTGTGGTATTGTAGGGACATCCATAACAGGCCTGGGTTAAGGTGTAGTAATACTCAATGGTGAAGTCGTATTGACAAGTCAGGGGGGTACCGTCCTCCTCGCACTCACGAGCGCATGCGTGGTCACGGTAATCTGTCAATGCCAAATGATGTAGTAATTACATACTTGTAATTACATAAACGTGTAACACTGTTTTGAGTAAATGGAAATGTATATAATTTTTTTTAATTTTGGGTTGTTTTGATGAAAATTATTTTAGATTTGTGATTTTTGGTCCTTTTTTGTTATGCGGAACAAACAAAATATTTTCACATAAATAAGTTAACTGCTTGATTTGACAAAGGTTTTAATGACATATATACTCAGTATATAACAATATCGAAAAAAAAGAATCTTTATACATTATTATCACCGGTATTATATAAGAGTATTTCAGTTTTCTTATCGTGTGGAGAAAAAATTAAAATGTTTAATATATTTTTACAGACCTATATCATTAAATATTTTAGTCCAGTTAAACTTGTAGATATTCAAAAAAAATCTTTGAAAAATTTGAACTGTTGTGATAATGTTAGAACTACACATTAATACAGTATATTGTCTCCTGTTCTCTAAATCACCGAGACTGAGTGTTTGATTACACTACACCATGACTACAAGAACAGATTCATTGTTGACAAAAACCATTTTTCAATTCTAATATCAATTTCACTTTTTTTGCTTTATCAAGAGGTATATGTATACATGTAACTTTTTTTTTCGACACTTTGTATCCCGACAGGTAATTAGCTTAATTATGATATCAGAGAGAAATATTGAAAATCAAGAAAAATATTTCTTCAAATTCGAATAAATTTTAATTAAAATGCACTTTAACTTAGTTATGCGCTATTTTTATGATTATTAAAATTGGTTTTAGTTGCATGCAAAGTTGGTAAGGCGCACCATGTTTCCTCAAACCGATATTCACTTTCTGTAAAAAATAATTTACGATTCCACAAAAAAGGATTACGATTCGTCAAATATGTTATGTTACCAAGAAACTGAGACGTAGGTTAAAAAAATACAAATATATATGTAAAATGTACAAAATAAATACATATCACATGATAAGCCTGTGCAGGCCCTAAAACTTCAACACGTACTGTTATTCTGAAAGTTTCCCTTAGAATAGGATAAAGAGTACAGGATAGAGAGTAAAATTTTACGGCTACCGGTAAAAAAAAATTCCAAAAGGATATTATTCTACCAATATACATGCAAATATACTTGCCTTTGAAGTTACTAGTAAGTTTCAAATAAATCTGACTGTCTTATTATTATTGTAATTTTGAAAATTTAGAGATTGACGCATTTTAATTGGTGTATCATTTTGCTTACCTGGTAACCGGGTTTTGAAGTACGAGTCCGAGAGAGCCACACGGGATACAAGGTTGAGGACGGATAGGGCCAAACTCCAGATGTGTGTTGGAACAATCATTTTACTCAACAACTGAAATAAAAGAAAACATTAACAGCATGGGTTCAAGAACCGAAGAGGCAGAGTTCTTATCCAAGTTTGTATCTTATCAACTCCCACTTAACTTATATAAATATTAGTGTAAATCTCTAAAAATCGTTTACTTCATTATACCCCCCGCTTGAAAAGCGGGAGGGTATATAGTAATCGTTAATTCCGTCCGTCTGTCCGTCTGTTACGCTTTGGGGTACCCATCTCTTATCCGCAACTCCTCTCATACCACTGAATGAAATTTGATGCAACTTTCACAGAATCTTTATTACATATTGCCATTGTGCACCTCCTATTTTACTTTTTGATCCGACACATATTTTGGGTTTCCCGGCCACAAGAAAACATGGACTTTTTCACCAGTTATAACCATATGGGAGGCGGGGGGTATCTTTTAGTGAGCTCATCGCTCACAGTACCTCTAGTTTGAATCTAAGAATATCTGGGGTTAAGGTCAAGTTAAAAAGAACGATGAAAGTTTTATGCATAAACTTTGTCGAATCCTGTACAAGTGCTATCTTAATTTTAATTTTATAATATTTATCGTAAACAACAACCATGGTTTTGGCACGGTGTAAAAAGCTATCATAATGTTAAAGTACAATGTATAAAATCGTGATGCACTTGCAACAACGATGAGTGCAATACAAACTGAACATTTTACACAAAGTTATGAGAAAGGAAAAACTTGGACATACGTGTATAAGAAATCTAAGTCAATCCAAAATGAACTAATCAAAGGATTTATCTTTTAAAATATTTTTTTAAGTTTGTTTGTTAAAACAACGTTTACATTTATGTAAAAGCCTTTCCTCATTATATTCAACCAAATTTTAGTAGTTTCAGTTAACATGTAGTTAGCTGCAGCTAATATGTAGTTAGAGGCTCGAAATCTGAGTTAGATTCAAGAAACGTTTAGATATAGGACATTTTCTGACGAACCCGACACATCAAGTTACGTCATCAGCTCACTTGACGCGCGTATCAATATCCAAAAATCGATGACAATTGGTGACTGGAATTGATTGATTTATTAGAAGCGCTGGTTTTGAGCTAAAGAAAGAAATCTGACCGGCTGTTCAACCTATGTCTTAATCACGGTAAAATTTATTGGTTCATTTGTGTGGAAGATCGAGGTTCAAAGATCGAGATTGGCCTACAACTCTTGACGAACTGTAACACAATTGTTATATCAATGGTGCTGGTGGGCCTTTTCATTGAAAACATGAAGAAACAATTTTAAATATACACTAGTTTAATATTAATTGGACAAAAAAAATTATTTTGAAATGGATGGTATTTATGTTTTACAAAATCTCACACCACTTCTGGATGTTAATATTAAATTAACCATTCCTTGTCTTAGACCGTAAATTGTTATACATTTGTAAGGATAAGGCTGTCTAAAATTAAAACTATGTTTAACGTCACCCGCGCGCGTAGGTTTATGAGAAATTCGTCTTTGAAAAAAACAAACAATTCGGAATTCCGTATGTCCGTTCCGGTTTGGTTCTACAATTAGCGACTAAATTCTGCTTCCCGTAGTGACAGAAAATGTGCTTTGATAGCCGCAGTAAAGGCAGTTGGTGTTTTATTAAAGAAAACTAGTGAATTAAAGAGCTTGGGACCATAAATGTAAGTAAAAAATAGATGATTTTATTATTGAAGTTAATGACAAAGTCTACTTTTTTTTTTTTTTGGTCAGTCTTCGAATCACGTACAGACTGACAGACTCTCAGTTCGTGATTATTGGCTGAACTTTTCATTGTATTTTGGAGAGAATCGAAAAACTTTTTTACTGAGTGGAAAGTGTGTCAAAAACCAATATTTATATACAGTGAAAAGCATCATTTAAACCTTATTTATTTAATTTATTTAATATTAAAAAAATATGTCTGTAAAAATCGAAAGGAACAGTAATGAGTAAGATAATTGATTTCTTCATAATTCATGTACAAATAGCTACAATTTTTGGAAAAGATAATACTTGTCTTAACCATTCGAGCAGGGAGAAGCTTACCGAAGATAGGGCCTTTCAAGTGAAGGAGAGTAAGGAAAGTGGTTTGAGGTATTCCAAGACGTAAAGAATCCTGTCTTTTGTGTGGAATTCAAGGTATTAAAGATAATCTAACAGCTATCAGTATGGTCCAAATATTAGTATTCACACTTTCAAAACTTAATGCTACTAGGTCTAGTACTAAGAAAAAATATGACATAATTCAATTTGAGGATATTTCAACATGAACAGTTTTATAAATATTGTCATCAATAATTTTAATTGTAGATATTGAGCAACTATTCCCACAAGAAGAAGCAATTGCCTCCAGGGTACCATGGACATGTGGCAATATAAATCCAAAGGACAACTGAGGCCTAGTTAAAAGCCACTTTCCTGCACATTCAGTCTTAGACTACATTTTTTGCTAAGAATAGGACTCAAACTGATTTACACACTAAGGAAAAACTCTGCTAGGAAAATTAATCTTAGGTGTCATATCAATTAAATACTCATATTACTTAATTATAATGTTTTTAATGTACTGAATAGGTTAATTTGAATAAATTCACAATTGTTTGAAAATTTTGTTTGTTTATTTTTTTCCTCCCTCCCTCGTAGGTTTTGAAATTTAGATGTGACGTTAAACGTAGAATTAACTTTAAACAGCCTAAACAAGTAATTTGCTAGAAAGGTTAAAAGGAGGCATTTTGAATTTCACCTGAACAAAAGAATCCCCCAGGAAACTGTTTAAAATGGTTTCTTTCATGGGGAGGGTCGGGAAGGAAGAGGGTGTTTTATTTGAATCCAAATGAAATATTTTTTATCCAAAAAAGCCCATGTAACAGAACTACATGTACATCTTAAAACAAGTATAATATAATTGCTTTTTTGTGGTAGTTCATTATGTTTCCTGTAGCATTCGTATAAGTAATTTGTCTGAAAGGACTAAAATCTTTTAATCCGTCGCAGACAACCGATGACAACAAACCAAACTGCTTATATATAACAGAAAACATTATATTAAAGCTAGATTCTGCAAAGATTTTGTAGGTTAGCGGTTATCATCTGATGATCTCAAATCACGAGAAGTTGTCCAACTGGAGTGACAACACTCATTGCTCAAGTTTGTATGACGCAAGCGGAAATTACAAATGGTCAATGCCTGAAGTATTTCTTGAATAAGGAATTTGTTGTTTAGGACGTCTGGCCACAATTTAGGGCAACTTTTGCGTTTTTATTTTTTTAATTTTGCTATAAGGTTAATCAGGAATTCTAGTTAGGAACATTACGAACGATTTCAGATTGTTACCTAGACGGCATTTCAAATGACACATATCATGTCGCTTTTGAATAGTTTGAATACACTATAAAACGTTTCTACTATTTCATGCTATAGATACTAGCAGTGCATCTGTAGTCATTTTTCAGAAAAAAAATTAAAACCTTGCATAAAACAATCAAGCAGACATTTTCGTTACAGCACAATTTTTCTTGCCTGAACGCAAACATTAATTTTAGTTGATCTGTTTTAAATTTCATCTGCCAGAAATTAAAAATAAAAATTCAACCCACCTGCTAAGGTAACAATGGTTTCATAATTCCATATAACTAGTGTGCCCTATGAGTGAATATTATGTAGTAGGTACATGTAGTGGTTTATTCTGCTACAAATACCTTGTCATGTACATCAGCTGACAGATAAGCGTGCACATTATTAATATACAGAGTTAAGGAGATTCACTTTGCTATAGACGTCAGTTCCAATGAAGAATGCATAGCTTGTATGCTTACGGGGCATCTCGTAATTCATATTAAATTAATATAAGGTAATTGATAAATGTTTATTATATAATTATATAAATATAAACCATGTTTACAGTTTTCTCAAAATACATAATCAATGGCTTGAATAATCAAAGTTAAGAAGATACACGTATAATTATATTGTTTCAGAGAAAGAAATATATTTTAAAAATTTTCAATTGTTTCCAAACAATGGTCATGAAATTTAAACAAAAAGACATGTTATCAGTTTCCCTTAAGAGTGCAATTTATCAACATCATAAAAATTACATCTAACATTTTTTTTCTGTAACTTTCTCCATTTGTTTTCATAAACAAGAGATCGTAGCTTGACCTTACCGGGTTAAGTGGTTATAGGCCGTGCACTGTCCGCGCTGACGACAGCGAAATACTGGTCCCGGGAACGACACAGACGGAGAATGCGCAGTTTTTAAACAATGAATGTACAAAAAAGTCTTCTGACATAATTCAGGAAATGTTCGACATCGATTTCTCGATGCTCTTCTCATTTCAGTGCATTCCAGTTGAACTTAATGGAAACCAGTCACATGCATATGGTCATCGTTTTAATTATGGTTTAACATCAGATTGAAAAACAGATCGAGTGCATTTTCTATCAAAAGCAACTAATTTTATAGAAAATCTGTACTGTGTGTAAAGACTTATGTTTCTTTTTATCACTAAAATTGATAAAGATGTGGGATTCCAAATTTGATGAGATTTTCATTATTTTTTCACAGTTGTTAGGAAAAAATTTAGTGATTTATGGTTGTGTTTTGCAGTGATATGAAGTCTTTGAAGATATGCTTAAGACTATGTTGCTAATTGTTTGCTTAAGACTATATTGCTTATTGTTTTGCAAACACTATAAAATATTCTAGATGTTTTGAATTGTAAACACCTTTTCGTTTTGTACTTGAACGTACAGGTTGTTCAGTTTTTTCTTTGCATTCAGTTTGGTTTGATTTGTTTTGTTGTATATTGTTGTTCTTTAAATAAAAGTGTACAAAAGTATAAAAGCTGGAATTCAGTTTTGTTTTTATGACAGACAAAAGTACCTGATATATTGTACATCAAATGCATAGCGCGACATTTCTAAACAAATGGTCCAGCAAGGGCCCAAAATAACACCTTGAATCTATTTATAGAACGTAGACATACATACACTTACATACAATGTATACATTAGGTCCATTATAATGGATTATAGTTAACCACACGCTCACACTTCACGGTGCAGACAAATCCATTTTTAACGAGACTTTCAGATTAATTCACGCATATTAATTAAAACAAATTATTATGTAAGAAAACGTCTTCTGCATTTACCTTTGAAAAAATATTCTGACTAAAGAAATCAACAAAAGTCCAAATAGATTTATATTTTGTAAAAAAAAAAATCTGTATTCTTGAAATTCAACAGAATTCTTTGATTTAAAAAATCATCCAGGATGTATTAAGAAAAACTCAAATAGGAGAATGCCATTGTTCTCGTTCATATGAAGTGTAGCTCATTTTTTGTGATTATTACAGATACGCTCAGAACACCAGTTGTACAAATATAATTAATATAGCCGTCTATCTACAGTACGAACAATCCTACACAGGGGACAATATACAGTTGTACATACCTGGTCATAATTATCACCTGCACAGGTATTCTATTTAGGTTAATAACTTATATAATGTTAAATATAAGCATAAACCGAAGAATAAACAGATAAAATAATAAGACCACATGTTTAATAAACTATGTAAAAGCATTTGATAAAGAATTTTTCTCTTGGGCAAAATCCCTTCTTTGAAGAAACAAAATTTCGATTCTTAAGTATGGCGTTTAACAGATGTTAAATGTCGAAGTTGTCAAATCATAGGGGTTGAATTGCCACAAAAATACCACTATTCGTGTGTGCACGTCGTTATTTGCACTTTCTTTGAACGAAAATGTCAAACACTGTCATAATTAACTATTTATTAAAAAATATGATAAATTATTCTTAGTTAAAAGGTTCCGTAGTTAGGCTTTTTTAAATTACTTTGACACGCCTGTTTGAAAGCCACTCATCTGTAGAAGGGATTCAAACCCCCTACCTGACTTATGTGTTTTTTTAGCGCACACATTTTTTTTCCTGTACTTAGATCATGCCCGTTTCCAGTCTCATTCAGTAGTACTTTGGTACAAGTTGAATAATAGCCTAGAGTTTAATTCTTTTTAAAACGTGAACTGTATTTCAAATTCTGACTGGCAAACGCCTTTGGGCTTTATTTTGTGCAACACTTACATTTATGTAACTGTTAGATTACAATATACCTTTTGATTTTTCATTTTTAAGATTATATAATGTGAATTCTTTCTAATTATTAATGTATAAAGAAGACCCAGCATAAAATGTTATTATAAGACATAGTTTTATTGCCCTGTTTCATATACATGTACGCTCGTACTAGTAATACCAATTACGTTGTCTGCTTTTCTTGAACATGTTGACGACGAAAAGTATATATTTTTGCATAACATGCGTTTGGATAACTGAATGAATATAATCTAGCTTTGCAGCATTTTTATTGCAATTTACCTTAAATTTTTGTTGACACTTTTCCTGAACAGTTTAAGACCAAATCCCTACCTGATTATCCATTTTAATGACGTCATCGTCAGACGAATTACAAACCACCATAGAACGACCATAATACAAAGACAGGTACTCGTTACGTTGACAGTCCAGTGACTTCAGAATCAGCTGGTGAAATACACTTAATATTACGAGAGCAAACAGTGGGAAACTCCAGGTCCGAGGCATGGCTATCCCAGCAGTGATCATGCAATAAACTAACGGTTTGGGGGAAAAGCTATAACGTGTTTCTACATTAGCGAGACAATACACAAACACGCTAGACAATAAGAAATTAACAAGGTCACCAGAGACACACTGCAGGGACAAGTTGCGGCGAAATGACCGAAGCCCTTAACCTGTTGATTGCAGACTATTTTTAGCAGCAAAAGGTGCATGAGGTAGTACTAGTTTTCTAAGTGTGCAATTGTCCGTGAATATATATCTGACGGTTTATGATAAAATTAATCATGAACAAGGCAAAAAGAAAGTATATTGTCAACCGGAAATAATAAGTTGCCGAGAGACCTTCAAAGAACAAGGCGAACATTAATTATAGAGTCCACACAACCTTAAGGAAGCAGGTTTGGTTTAAACTTACTTTTTGCCTTTTAAATTTTACAAATGGGATGGTACAAAAAATATCTTAACGCCTTTTCCCTTCTACTGAATTAAATCAAGCATATTTTGCACATACAAATCACACTTCTTATAATCGCACAAAAATCACAATTATGAGATGATGAATTATTTCATAAAGATACATTTATCATAATTCACTTAGAGGTATAGTGGTTATTGCACCGATTTCGCACTGTGCATTATAAAGATGACGACACAATATCCTAGCTCAACGAATTGTCTGAAAACCCAAATCTTGTATCAGCTCGATCGGAGTGTAAAAATCCATATCAAACTAGATATAACATTAGCATAAAGTTTTACAATTAAAATATACATGAAAAACAGGCAACTAGAGCTTGTTTATATATTTTTTTAGAGTTTAAAATGTCTTGTCGTTCTCATGTGAACGCTTATATATGAAACATATGGAGATAACGAACTGTATTCCAGATCAAAAGACCATAAAACAATACAAAACAGGAGCAGAGCAAACACGGACCACCAAAACCCCAGAGGCGAGATCAGGTGCCATGGAGGAGTGAGCATCCCCTGCCGACCGGTCACACCCCATATATGAGTATGTCCCAAACATATCGAATATGCGAGCGTTCAGTCGAGCGCCCCAATGGCATTGTAAACAAAAGATGTCGTGTGGTCGAACGCTGAACGGCAATATTTATGATAGGTATATTGTATTAGCAGCTCGGTAAGACATGTCTATTTCCACGGAAAAATCAAATTATTAATCAATAATTCTAAAAAAAAAAAACCCCAGTAAGCAGAATAAGTTCTATGGTGGTATACATGTAAGTGGAAATTTAGCAATTCGTCTTTAAAAACTGGTATTTTATTTTTAGCGAAATGTAATTATAGCGAGTTTTAAAATGCTCACTAAAGAAGCTTTTACAAATTAAACGCAATTAATTTTCTAGCGATATTCAATTTTAGCGATCTCAGCACCCTAGCTTATAATGCCAAAATTTAATCCTTGCTAAAAATTCTGCTTATACGCTATTGCATGGAAAGTCTTTAATGTTGTTTATTATTATACGGCTAATAAATAGTCTTTACATGTAATAAAAATCTACTAAAAGTCTAGAGAATTTTAGCGTCTAATGTCTCAGCGTTTTATTGAATGCTGAGTTTGTATTACGAACATGAGTATGTCCGAAACATTCCGAACACGAGCGTTCAATATCGAACGCCCCCTTGTAACAAAAAAAAATGTCGTCTGGTAAGCTCCTCAAAGACAAAATTATGATACATAGGGACAGCTAGGTAAGATATTTTTATTTTCACACAAATTTAGTTTTATTAATTAATATTTATTAATTGAAATAAATCAATGGGGGTGTTTCAGCTATACAGTATATAATATAAGGACTTGCGTTATTGAATATTGGCACTCGTTCGTACACGAGCATTCGAGTGCATTTGTACACAGCCAACTTGTTCATTCGTTCTACGGTGCGACCGTTGGGGCGAGCGCAGTTATTTACTTTCAAAAACCATTAAACAGCTTTTACTTGCACTGCTTATCCTCAGTTTCAAAGACTTCCCAGGCATCGGGATCGAGATTCCGAACTTTTCGGAAGTTTCCGTCAAAATCGGAAATACCCGAGCCGTTTAAGTGACGAAAGTATGACGTCAGATAAAAAGTCCTGTTGACTTCAAACGCAAACGATATAGTTTTGTGGCATGGAGATTGCATTAAATCGTTGTTTGTAATTTTTCTTTCAAGTAAGTTGTTGCTATTTGAGTCACTATGTTGCTATGCACCGCAAAGGATTACTGGGAGTTTGGAATTTTTTCACGCGGTGAGATAAAAATTTATATATTTCCTCCGTTCGTACACATTAGTGTATTGAGCTCGCTACGCGAGCGGCGCTTCGCGCCGCCTCGCTGCGCTCGCTATTATTTACACGTCTTTTATCAATTTTGACGCAATATATGCATGAATTTCCAGGCGGTTTGTGCATACCAAACATGTAGAACATTGCGACATTTAACTCCGAATACAACATTGTTCAAACCTTTACTACCATTTCTGATAGGTGGGATTTTTAAAGCATTTTTTTTAGGGTGTCATGTATTTTCCCCATACATTGTTTCAAATCCCATTTGAAAAAGTTAACGGGTGTAAAAAATGATTTTAAAAATGCCATTAATGGAGAAAATATCCCATCTGATTTTCCCTTTGGGAGAAAGGTTAGATAAATGTTAGGACTTAAAATTCCAACATTCTCCCATGCTATTCTTACTTTTAGGACTTAATTAAATAAGAGATGTTTGTGAGTTAAACATAATACTTTGTGATACTGATAAATATTCCCACCAAGTGCTAATATTTTTTATCCGACATCACAATTAAAATGGTAGTAAAATCTTGACAATGCCTTTCCGGAGTTAAATTTCGCACTATTGTATAATTATGGCTTAAATTGATTTTAGCAATGTCTGTTTTACAAGAAGAAAAAACGCTTGGGAAGTTTAAAAAAAACTTTAAAGATTAGAGAAATATATGTTTTATATAATCTTGATTTAAGTGTATACATGTATAATAAAAAAAAATGCTTGATTTGGATAACAAAATGCTTGTCCCATCCATAACTTTTTCATAATTATATTGTCTAGGCACAAAAGTTCTTGAAATTGGTATGTATAGTGTATATATTGCTCATATGTTGACTACATAAAACATCTAGACGTCACATTAATTAATATTTACACAGACGGACGTCCGTAAATGTCTGATCACAAATGATCATAGTCTCTATAAGAGAAACCCTTTTATTATTATAAGTGTTACATTAAAAGGAAAGACTTTATCAAGTATCTTTAACAGTCTTGTAGAGAGCAGAGTCAGTGGCAAACTACTGAGCTAGTTTTTACGAAGAAACAAGGAATATGAACCAATAATTAATACAATTTATTAACTTTAAAAAACAAATAGTATTTTCTGTAATTATGTTATCTAACCTTTACATTTTATGGTTGTTCTTGGCCATTTTAAGAGGTAATCACATCGTATTATTCTTTCTAGCATGAATGAAGCATATGGATATAACAAACAGTATTCAAGATCAAAAGCCCATAAAAAAAAAATACAAAATAGGAGTAGAACAAACACGGACCTCCCTGATCCCAGAGGTGGGATCAGGTGTCATGTAGGAGTGAGCATCCCCTGCCGACCGGTCACACCCAATAAAGTGTATTCATGAAATAACTGATTTTATGCCAAAATATTAAAGGGCCTAAGACGATAAACTTGTTGATAGACTTAAGTCAAAACGTTACATCAATATAATTTTTTGAAATAATTTTCAAAATAAAACAAAGTTTTCAATAATTATGTGTATGAATTAGTGAATTTCACACATCTCCCAATTTTTTGCATATCTATTAAATAGAAATAAAGATATTTAATGTCAAAGTTTTGACTTAATTAAGTCTTTTCTCAATTTATGATCAATTTATGATCTTGAGATCATATCTCTTTCCAAGTGTTTTAAAAATCCGAGGATTTTTTAAAAAAATATACCTTACTTGTATTCTCAAATATCAAAATACTAGATGCTTTCAACAAAATTTAATTCAGAATCGTAATCAAGAGAAATTGGCCTTACCGTTATAATAATCTCTCAGAATTATATTTTCTTTCAATATATCACCACAACTCCATATACAAAGTTGTAATCATGTACATATATTTGTTTGAAGCCTAGAAAAATACAATTGATATTTTTTTGATCGAATTCTTATGCATTTTCTATGTGGAAGAATTGACAAGTACATGTAAATCATTATTATTACTATGCATGTTTTTTTCTGAAAAATTGACGAATCAGATTAGTTGTTAACCTTGGTTACTACGAATTACTTATAATACGATGTGACGTATAAATAAAACTTGATAGTGCTATCAAATCAATGAATTATCCTCATAGGCGTTTCACGGTTCGAAGAATTGAACATCAATGTAACATAGAGTACATGTCGTAATGAAACATCTGACTTATGTTATCCGTAAATTTACATAATTTGTGGATACCGAAAAATTAGTCGTCACATACGGAAACTCTCCCTGTAAACAACCAGTCATTGTGGTCTACTTATTTTATATGTCGGTCACAACAATAACTGAAGTGAATCGCATATCTACAAATCACTCCCCACTTCCTCCCTACAATTCAGAAGTAGGCAATAACTTGATTACATTTGAACATATTGTTTACTTAGAAAGGGATAAAAATATAAAGTTCTCAAACTGAAGGGTTCTAATTTCATTTCATATTTGTAAAATGTATAACGATATGTTGGTTTTCATGTAAAACTATAACTAGTTGGTATTGGTATGGTTTTTGGAATGCTTTAAGAAAAAGTTTGCATTAGACTGCCTCACACCATTGTGATGTTGCAAATTTTGAATTTACTTTAGGTTGAGGTAAGTGCAAAATTTACAACATAGTCTCTGCAGTTATTTAATATGGTCTTCTCCAGTTTAAGAGAACAATCATGGTGAAGCTACATTGTCCCTTTGGTGTATTATTTGATCATTTGATATTTAAAGTGCCAAGCTTACTTGCAATAGGGAAAGTAAGTTTAAGCCTACATAATTAGCAATCATTCTACCAAATATAAT